GAGAGAGAGAGAGAGAGAGAGAGAGAGAGAGAGAGGGAGAGAGAGAGAGAGAGGGAGGTGAGAATGCCGGAATGTCGCCAACGCGAAAATACAACAGCAATAGCCGCGGCAGCAAAAGCAACACCAATTAGGACAAAGAAACACGTACATAGACAAAGAAACGAGAACAGCAACTACCGCTACCCTCCAAGGCGACCGAACGGTCAGACGACTACGGCCGTCCGCGCTACCAAGAAAAATGAAGTAACAAACCCTAATTGCAGCGGTTGTGCACAGACATGGGCGGTTGAGTTGGGGGTGCATCTGTTTTTCCTTCCCATGGCTACTTTTCAAGACGTAGGCAGCACCACTCCCTTGTTCATAAATACAGCCAGCACCCCTGCAACGGCTGCTCCGCCGCTCTTGCAAAGCGAACAACGTTATGATGACGAACCGTGTTCCACTTCCTCGTCGTTCCGCCGGAAAGGAGGGGCTGCAATTTTCTGCCGGGTGCCCCTGGGGCAGAGAAAGAGCAAGTAGGCCGGTTCGCGTCCAACCGCAACCATGGCCCGAGGTTCAAATCGACCCGCACGGGAGGCGCAAGACCGTTCGTCACTGCGAACATCGAGCTGTGGAGGGCGCCGTCGCAACCTTTGGTCCATCTCATTCGTGCCCCGCCGTTCTGCACAAGCACCACAGGCCGGTCACCCCTGTGGTCTGGCGGTAAACCGCCGCACAGATACTAGCAGCAGCTTGTGAGTTCAACTCTCACCTCCCTCTCTCTCTCTCTCCCTCTCTCTCTCTCTCTCTCTCTTTCTCTCTCTCCCCCTCTCTCTCGAGTGAAAAATGAAAATGCCGGTGGAAATATGAATTATGTCGTGAATGTTACTTATAAGCCGTCCGAATTGACGGTCGACCAGGGAACGGGACAGCTGAAATCTTCCCGCAAAAAAACTGAGGCAAGCAGCGCACGAGGAAGAGTGGGTAAATACAATACAACAACACACAAAAAAATAACGAAAGCTCCGTTCTTGTGTGACGCTGGCTGACGCATCGAACACATACAAACACATATCCACCGAAAGGTTTGCGTGTAGACTCGGGGCCAGGATATCGATGGGACCCAAGTGCACGCTTCAAGGTGAACGAAGACTTGGGAGATCTAACGGACGGGTCCTTCTCTGCGGCAACGGACATCGTCGACGGCCCAATCTTCTGACTTCCTCGTGGAAAAATCACCAAAAGTGCGCGTGTTTGTGGAGGTTACTCCTGGGCATTGCAAGGACCACGCAGCGCGGAGGCGGGATAGCATCACACTTGCGATGGCTACGGCCAGGGGGCGGATGATGCATGTTCGCGGTGTTGATGTCAGCTAATTCCGGTCAAGCATGACCTGACGTCCTTCCAAGGCGTCACTACGAGCGCGTAGTTGAGTGTTTCCGTCCCAACTCACTTCGTGGGCCGCGAGTACATGCCGCACGGGGCGGGGGCAGCGTGTCACTCGAAGCCCGGCGGTCCCATGATGCACTCCCACGCAATGATATTTCACTCGTCGTGGTTCAGCTCGACAAGCGGTATCGAGACCGAGTGAAGTGCTACCCAAACACAAAAGAAAAAAAACATACCCGATCCAGGCAAGCGCAAAAAAAAACAAAACACGTTGACGCGCACACGTTGGCTGCAAAAAAATAAATAATACGTACAGCGACACACCTTGTGCCGTGACGAACGGCTTCGGAGGCGGGCCCCATCGGTCCTTGAGGAAACTCCACTGGGCCGCGGACGCCTCCTCTAGACTCGGGAACTCCATGTCCATGGGGTCGCTCAGGCCCTGTCCGATCTGTACCCCCCCCCCGCATCGTTCGTTCCCCCCAATCAAAAACAGACAAAACAATACGAGGAAAGAAACGAGGTGGAATCAGCACAAAGCAATGCAGACCGTCTGTACGGTGATTCGCACGAGAGCATATCGCTCGTTCCACGCTGCCTGTTCTTCCATCCGGTCGCGAATACCTGCTTCGTACAAACACGCCGCCGCCACCCCTCTGTCATCCGCAGAGACATACGAATGGAGGGAACACCGAGTCCGGCAAGTGGGAAGGTAGGCTGGGTACTCCAGCGCAGCAGAAAAAACCAAACACAAAAGATGTGAACACCTCAGCCGGTTTACTGCGTTCGGCAGGAGTTCGCTATCATAGCTCTCTGTTCTATCCGCCATGCGGGTGATTTGCCCACCACCATCGTCAACACCGTCACCACCGTTCACATAAGCAAAAGCGAGACAGCGGAGCCGTTGCCGTTCTTCGACGAAGCTTTTGTCGCTGCAACCCCCCAACAGCGGCAGATCTGATTTCGATTTACTCTCATGACAGAGGATGGCCTGATTTTCTGTGGGGGAGTTCCTGTTTGCCCGCGAAACAAGTGGGAGGGAGGAGTACACCGAAGCTGGTCCCGCTGAAAGAAATGCCAGAAATGGGGGCTCGTGTTGCCTGATGGGGTCGAGTGTTGTGTCGTATCAAAACCCGTTCCGATCCGGTGTACGCCGCTTTGACCCACATGCACCACCTCTTGTCAAACTCCCCCGTGCTATGTCGTCGTCTGTCGGTCTATTTGTCCTTTCTGTCTGCCTGTGCCCTTTCCCGCCCTCTCTATTGCACGCACCATCTCACACGCACACATTTCAATATCCCGTAGTGGGGGTCGTTAACGCATTAAATTGCCGGCCAGCGCGGTCAATGCTACAAGCATCGACGTGACACACACACACACACACACACACACACACACCTCTCTGCGGAAGACGTGTTTCGGTCCCAGATCACAGAACAGAAACCTGCAAAAACAAATTCCCGTGATACCACGTGGCCCCGTGGAATCAGCAGCGAAATCAGCAGCAGCAGCAGCAAAGGAGCCGAGCGCAACGCCCATGTCAACAGCGGTGCGTGTCACAAAAACAATCAGCAACGAGCATTGACTGCACTAGGTGACAGCCTCGACGATTCGCAGGGCTGGGTTAGACGGATGCAGAAAAACAGGACACCCATGTCGGTCGCAGTGTCTCCGAAAGTACAACGATGCACAATGCGGCGCAACCCATCACCAGGAAGGTGCAAATCTAACACCTCATTGGACGGCGAGTAGGTAGGGAGGAGGTATGACAACACGAAGGAGTGTGCATGCTTGGGGACGTGGGGCACCACAACCGGCGAGACTTCCGATGGCGGTGTGCGCGAACCGCAACTTCCCGCGGAAGCAATGCGCCATTGATTGCGTGAAGCGAGAACAACAGAGACTTCCACTCTCGAGAAGCGTCAGCCTACCATCTCTTTCAGCCTCTTCGCGCGTGTTTTACAGGGCATCAAAGCATATCCCCCCCCCAAAAAAAGACAAAATGGCAGCGATATGGACCGCAACACTCCCACTTTCAAACCAAACGAGAAGGAACAGGTGTCGCGGTCTCCGCTCACCCATCGTAACCGAACGTCTCCACCGTGTAGAACGCCGCGTTGAATTTTCGGCACAACGTTGAGACTCGCCGCCGTTGTGCCGGCGCCGCGCCGCTCAGCACCACCACCCTGCCGAGTACAACCAAACGACCAGAGGCCCACCCATAAAACACACGTGCACGGTAGTCAACAACGCCGAACAGCAGGCTTGCGACCATTCGGAATCGCACCGGACGACCATGTCGTACGGGCGCCGCCGTCCCCGAATAAACGCCACGTGGCAAGAAAAGAGCGACGCATGTATTTTGTCAACGTCTTCCAACCCTGGGGTCACCAGTTCGTCTCACAGAGTAACTCGACAGAAGAGAAGTGACGCAGCCATTGGCGCGTAAGAGGGGTTCCATGGAGTGAGGGGGAAGGGTTGGGGTGGAGCCTCAGACTAGAGTCCCCCCGCCCCCCTGCCTTTGAGGTAGGTTCCTGACCCCCGGTCCCCCGAGTGGAGCAGAAGGCAGGTGGCTTCATCGCGCACAATGTTGTAGAAATTGGGAAAATCAAGGAGGAAGGAGTTCGTCCCGGCAGCTCGCAGCCCCGGCGGCACACCACCCACACCTCCTCAATCCTCCCGCAGACGGACACTGCTACCGCTGCAAGTGTCCACCATCTACCTCAGTTGTAAGAAATACAACAACAATATGTCTCCCGCAGCACTTCTCTACCCCACCGGAATGCTTTGAAGAAGTCGTCCGGCAGTTCTTCCAGCGGCCTGGTCTCGCTCGACACGCTCGCGAGCCGGTTTAGTTCCCTCGCGTTGTCCGCGCTAGCCTCCGCGCGCTTTTTCAATCATTT